AGAATAGACTGGGAATACACAAATTTATGAGTAGGAGATTGGACACTGACTTGCTACAATGATCACAAATTAGGGACCTCAAGTGCAACACATCCCCTCGACGATGGAAAATTTGGAAAGACTATCCCATGACCACTTACCAGTAGATGTTTGCCTTGTGTGATGGCCCGATGCTTCATGCAGTTTCATTCCTCGTTCTCCCTTTCATTGCTGCGTAGAACCTCCGCCAATACGAATATTCTTTTCTTCCCATATTGCCCTCCAAAAGCCCACAAATTTACTCCACCATCACTTCTTCACCACAAAGTTCCGGAAGTTGCATTTTCTTCACTATCATCGCCGTCATCCATGGAAAACCCTCCTCAAGGCTACAGGAAAAATGTTGGAATTTGCCTAATGAATCCCTCTAAAAAGGTATATCTCTATATATACGCGTCATAATTATTATATATAGAGCTGTATTAGATTTAGGGGCGTTAATTGTATTGCTTGTTTTAGATTTTTGCAGCTTCAAGGCTTGATATACCAGACTCTTGGCAAATGCCTCAGGTAAGATTCTCTGATACTCCAAATGGATATCTTGTATTCGTATTAGATTTCGTGTAAAAAGTTCGATATGTTATTAGTATCTGGCAATTATGGATTTATATTATAGTGATGTAATATTTTAAGATTTTTTAAATTCAGAATTGTGTCATTAGATGTTAAGGCATTTTCATGTCTCTACGTCCTGTACTTAATCTGAGACGTGAATAAGAAAATTGTTCTTCTGCCGCTGGCTATTGGAATATTTTGATGTACTATTCAATGCTTCTGCAGAATTTGTGGGATCTTGAAATAGCATGATTTTTTTTCTTTGTCCTATGTTACATCCGTGTGTATATACTAATTTTTATATAGTGCATAATTTTATAGGGTGGAATTGACGAGAACGAGGATCCAAGAAGCGCTGCTATCAGAGAATTAAGAGAAGAAACTGGAGTCAGTTCAGCTTATATTATTGCCGAGGTATGGAAGTAAAGTTGACCTGTAGCATTTCTATTAGTTGTATTAAGTTTTACTAGTCTATATGTTACAAAAAGAAATTAATATGTGCTTAAAGAATTAAGGGGACTAATAATTTAACTAGGTCCTCTTCTCAATAGAGTTAGCATAATTCTCCACTCATAGCAAGAACATCCACCAGCTATCCTTTCCTCGTAAATGGTATGTGGATGAGTTCATGTGTGCATATTAACTATTAAAAGATGTCAGGCAAGAAACTGTATTTTTTAGGAAAAAGTGGGCTGGTATTGAAATGGAAGAGTGACGGTTAAGGTGTAGGATTACAAGTGTGCAATGGACCTTGAGAGCAACTAGAAGAAGAGGGGCAGGGAAGTGGAATGAGCTAGGTGGTGAGATTCCGAGGAATGTGAGATAATGTGATGCGGGGTTGAGAAAGGGAAATGGATAAGGATGAATGAAGGTAGGGAGTGAAGGAGCTGATTGATTTTGTTGGACTAATAATGATGCCATAATGTACTCAGAGGACTATCCAAGTTGTATACATGCACGCTTCTGTCTTTTAAATTTTGTTGTGATCCTTCAATGGAAATCTTTGATTTTTGCGAGACTTGCGAAAGTATAGTGCATAAAAATGTTGATTTCTAAAACACATCAATGCAAAACTGCATTCATGATTCATACTTTAGGTCGTGCATTTGCTAGTTCTCGAAAAACTAAAATCCATGTTCATAGAGTTCAAGTTACTTTAATTACCAATTCCTTTTAGATATAAATGCAAAATTTTAGCAAATAGCAAACCACTATTGAGGTTTTAGGACGGGGTATACTTATTTTTTATTTGTTCTTGAGTGGGGTTAGCCAATGGAAATCATTCATAAAATGAATTTCTGACATGGGAGTTTAAAGCAATTGTATGGTTTTTTTTTATCCCAGCTTTAGATATGGATGAAAGAAAGAAATCTATTTGTATCTTTTGCTTGCTGAATTTGTTATCAACAAAAACTGTAAATCATTTTAATGACAATAGAAGTTTCCATTGGCAGCTTTTGTTTGGTAAGTTAGATATTAAATTTGTGAGTTAGCTTTCTGTTTCCTTTCATTAGACTCTGGATCTTTCCAGATCCTTTATTTGTAACTGTGGTTTTTCAAATCTGCTTTATTGAGCTGTCCTTATAGAGGAGTCCTGCTGCAGGTGCCACATTGGTTGACATATGATTTTCCACCTGACGTCAGGGAGAAACTTAGGCATCAATGGGGTTCAGACTGGAAAGGTCAAGCACAAAAATGGTGGGTACATCTATGATGTAGGACA